GTGGAGGGGCTGATGTGTTTGAGAAGTCAGTCTTTAATCTGACTTCCATTCAGTTCACCAGACCGGCCCCGTGAGCAAAAGGAACAAAACCACAGAGTGAGTCTCTACCACCCCAGAGCTTGCTCGTGCCCTCTGGTTCCATCTTCTCTGCCCCCGTGGAAGGCCCACAACGTCACCAGTCATTGATTTCTTCTCTATCACATAGAATAACCCTGTCCATACCGCCTCCCTCAGAGGGCTTTGATTTCCACGTGAGATGCTTATGGGAAAGTGTACTGTGTGCTCACCAGCTGTAAGAGATCGATGTTTTCATATCTGGAATGAAACCCAGTTTGTTGAGGTGGCTGCTTTTGATTTTGCCTTTTAACTCAATGCTATTTTAGTTTTCTGTTACTGAGCAAGTGGTTTCTGTTTGTGTGGTGAACGATGAAAGCCTTATTTATATATACACTTGGCCCTTCAACAACGCAGGGGTTAGGGGCACTGACCCCCTGCCCAGTCAGACATCTGCACATAACTGTTGGCTCTCCAAGAACTTAACTACTAAGAGGCTGGTGTCGACCAGAAGCCTTACTGATCACATGAGCGGTCAGTTAACTCAGACTTTGTACATTACGTGTATTATATACTGTATTCTTACAATAAAGTAAGCTGGAAAAAAGACAGTGTTATTACGAAAATCATAAGGAAGAGGAAATACATGCACAGTCCTATCCTGTAAAAAATCCACGCATAAATAGACACGTGCGTTTCAAACCCATGTTGTTCAAGGAACAACTGTAATGAGAATGAACACTGTTTATTCGGCACATGTTATCCTTCCAGGCCTCGTGGTCTTTACTTTATTTACATTATCTCATTTCAATTCTCCAAAGAACGCTTTGGGGCCCTGTTGCTCCTCGTTCCCCTGTTGATGAAGCTGGGGCCAGAACTCACGCTGAGGTCTGTCGGATGCCGGAGCGCACGTGCAGGGCTGCTGTAGGACGCTCGCTGCTCCTGAGCCGATGGCAGTAGTGCCAGCTCCCGTCCGCGGAGCGCCGTGTCCTGGGATGGGAGCGTGCAAAACAAATCTTGAGCTGTGGCATGATTGCCGGAAAGTGGGGAGCGTAGATCTCCCCCTTTAGAAACTGTTTCTGTTTTTCACACAACTCTAATAAGCGTGGCGGTATTGTTGTAAGCCCAAGCAGCAGCAAATAAAGACGAGGGTACACACACACAGGAGCACAAAGTAGAGGTTCCCTGAGACTCCTTCCAGTTCAATGTTCTGAGCGGTCAGCAGCCTCGGCGGTAACCAAGGGCACAGACTTGATTATTGAAGCCAGACACGAGCACGCAAAAAAAGCACACCAGCCTGGGTGAAGGACATTTGACAACCTCAAGCCACCAAGAGAAACGTAAAGTAGGTTAAACTGAGGGGTGTCTGGGTGGCTCAGTCAGTTAAGTGTTGGCCTTCAGCTCAGGTCATGATCCCGGGTCCTGGGATCGAGTCCCATGTTGGGCTGCCTGCTCAGCGGGGAGTCTGTTTCTCCCTCCCTCTCTCTCAAACAAATAAATAAATAAATAAATAAAATCTTTTTAAAAAATTAAAAAATAAAGTAGGTTAAACTGAGTTAAGTTTAAAAAAAAAAGAAATAGCTAATATGTTTTAGAAAGGCTCTGTCCTAAATGATGAGGATAAAACTTTAAGTTTTCAAGTTAACCTTTCTGGAAAACTCAGTTATCCTGAGTGGTGATTCGAAGAGTCAGAGAGGACAGTATGCAGGCAGGAGTCAGACCCTGCGCTCACTAGCTTTAAGTGGGTGTTGTCACGCAGGTCAGCTCTGCCTTTTACTTGCCCTCTGCTCTGTTCCTTCGCTGCTGCTGAAGAATTACCTTCACCCACTCACTCCGGGATTCCAGCAGGTGGTGCAGAACAGGCCCGGGCATCTGGGATTCAGTTTTAAGGCACCGGCTCTGTGACTGGGGACTGTACCAGGCCCTGGGAATTCAACAGTGTGTGGAAGATACAGTCTTACCCTTAAGTCATACATGGTTCGTTGGGGAGAGAGACACATGAGCAGGTGTTTAGAATTGAGGCTGCTACAGGCCCACAACAGGGACATATGACCTTATTTGGGGGGCAGGGTGCTTCCCCAGGGGAAATAGTGCTTAAGCGACAATGTTAAGCAGAGAGAGTATTCCAAGCAAAGGAAAGAGTATGCGCAGAAGTCAGGAGAGCAATGTGTCATGGGGAAACTCGCAAATACACTATCACTTAATTTGGCTTTCATCTAGAACATGAGCTGAGCTATAGAGAGAGAGGTCATGCTGGAGGGGGAGGGGAAGTGGAGCGCGCAGCGCAGATCAGGCAGGGCCTGTGTACCATGTGAGAGAGTTGGGACTTCATCCTGAGGGAATTGGAAGGTTGCAAGCAGGATCCCTGCCTACCCCTCCAGCTCCTACTACTTTCCCCTCTCTCTGTCGTTGGTTATCCTCACTTCTTTTTGTTCCTGCAAAGGCCAACCTCATTTCAGCCTTAGGCCTTTGCACTTCCTTCTGCCTGGAACAGTAAAGATTATTCTGGTTGCAGTGTACTAACTAGATTAGTGTACGTGCACCTGGAAATAGGGAGATGGACTAGCAGGCCAGGGCAGTAGTCTCAGTGGGAAGGGACATGGCAGTGTGGAGACAGAGACACGGACAAACATCTGCAGTATCTTGGGAGGTAGACTCGGTGTCTGGCAAGCAACTGACTCAGGCCAGACAGGCATGATACCTCAGGCCATTGATATCAGATGGATGGGGCTGCAGCGTCGGAGGGGCTGACTTCCAGAGATCTACCCCACTACCCCACTGGAACATGAGCTGCCTGGATTTGCTCACCAGATCGTGAATAACGCTTATAAGTTCCAGCTGCATTAGTACAACCTTGTTGATATCTAATCTTAACATTTATGATTATGTGCCTTGGGCTCTCTGTAAACTAATCCACAATAACATGCTTACTTCTGATCATAATAGGATAAATGAGACAAAAATCAGAGTAAATGACCAGGGTGATGATGATCAAGTAGTTCTCATTAAGAACCATTGAATGCATGGTTCGGGTTTCCGTGCGTAAGGTCCCTTTAACAAACTCGGCTTGTGGGATGTGTCCCTGACTAGAGATGCTTAACTCACTGCATTTGTTTAAACTCTAAAACCCAGCCATTCCCAAGCCAGGCTCCCACTGAACACCAGCCTCCTACTGCCTAGAGTTTTTCTGTTTACATTCGCCACTATAGAGATCTGGTTTGTTTCCAAAAGATGCATTTTAACATTTGTGTGGTGAGCCACATTTGTTATATTTGAACCATGTGTGACGCAAGGGAGAAGGGTAACCACTTGGCTGGAGGGGGAAGGGTGACTCTTTGGGTTAGCAGTGGTACTTCCTGCTGATTTAACAGGAACTGGTTAGATGTTAGATGGTGGCAGCAATTACACACAGAGACACACATATATTTTTACCTGCCAACAGTCTAATGTGGATGTAAAGTTTGTTAAATTGGACCATGCTGTTTTCTAGTCTTCTTTTTTAAAATTTTATTTTTAAGTAATCACTACACCCAGTGTGGGGCTCGAACTCCCAACCCTGAGATCAAGAGTCACACATTCAACTGACTGAGCCAGCCAGGCACCCCTGTTTCCCAGGGGTTTTTTTTGTTTTGTTTTGTTTTTTTAAGATTTTATTCATTTATTTGAGAGAGAGAGTGGGCAAATGAGAGAGAGAGACCACAAGCTGGGGGAGAGGCAGATGGAGAGAGAGAAGCAGACACTGAGCAGGGAGCCTAAAGTCGGGCTGAATCCCAGAACCCTGGGATCACGACCCAAGCTGAAGGCAGACGCTTAACCCAACTGAGCCACCTGGTGCCCCTCTGTTTTCTAGTCTTTTTTTTTTTTTTTAAGATTTTATTTATTCATTTGACAGACAGAGATCACAAGTAGGCAGAGAGGCAGGCAGAGAGAGAGAGGAGGAAGCAGGCTTCCCGCGGAGCAGAGAGCCCGATGTGGGGCTCGATCCCAGGACACCGGGATCGTGACCCAAGCCGAAGGCAGAGGCCCCAACCCACTGAGCCACCCAGGCGCCCCTGTTTTCTAGTCTTAAACACAAAGGAGAAATGCTTTCTGGGGGTCTGTATGGCTCACTTGGAATTGAATAATGTATAATTCTTAGCTGACCTAGAAGTGCTTCTAGAAAAAAGCCTCATTCATGTCTTATTAATAATATCTTCAGTTACATAAACTGTGAGGAGCCAAGCAGATAAAGTAGGGGAAAGGGCTTCATCTGATAGTGAAGTGATTCATAAATTAATAACAGAGATGGAAAACTAAGGTCCAGAGAGGTTGATTTGTCCATTGCCTACAATCAGCTCATTCCTTCATTCAACATGTATATAGTATGTATTATGTAGATGTAGTAATTCTCCATTGCTATACCACAAATGACCCTAGAACTTGGTTACTTAAAATGACACCCACTTACTATCTTATTACATCTACGTCTCCCTCTCCCTTTGCCCCTCCCGCCACTCACACACTCTCTCCCCTTCTCTTTCTCTAAAATAAATAAATAAATCTTAAAAACAATAACAACTATTGGGGGCGGGGGGGGGGCACAGGCATGGGATGAAAGGCTTCCTAGGGCTTTTCCTGCCCTCCAGCAACTCTGAAACATAATTTACATATTTGCAGCTTCTCTATTTTGAGGAAATGATTCCTAGTTCTCTTTAATGCTCAATTCTGTCAATACTGAACAGATTAGTTAAAGGTGGACCTTGGGCCACACATACTCTTCAGAAGAAAACAGAAATATGGCATTTGCCAGAGGACTTCCATTTTTAAAGCTTGTTGCTTGTTATTGATGTGTACCTTAAGAGTGGAAATATTAGCTGAGATGAAAGTACCTGGCACAAATCACTGTTTCTTCTTGGTGTTTCACAGCCAGATGTTGTGAAATTCTTTTGTTTTTCTTTTTCCTCCAGTGCCTGGAAATCTTGGCTGCTACAAGGATCATGGAAACCCACCTCCTCTAACGGGCGCCAGTAAAACATCTAACAAACTTACCATACAAACCTGCATCAGTTTTTGTCGGAGTCAGAGGTTCAAGGTAATGATTCTATGGCTCTATCTATATCTATAGAAAAGCATGAAGATGTAAATGCAATCTGCCGAGATAACTTAAAAATACATATACTTTTTTTAAACCTGTCAAACCATGGAACTGTTTTTCTGCCAAGGAGGAACTGGAAGAAGAGCAGGGCTTGGCATTCAGGAGTGTGAAGCAGCGTTCTTGTCTAAAGATGGGGAGAGAAAAGAGGAAAATCCCCCAATATCTGTATCCCTATTTGACCTCTGACAGAATTATGTATTTCCTTGTGCCCTTGAACGTTAATGAGCAGGGACATCTCTGGCTTCCCAGGGGATCTGGGAGTAGGCCAAGGCAGTGGTTATTTCCTTACTACATTAGGGGCCCTAGCCTGGACAAAATACTTTCTTTTCTTTCTGTCCTTTCCTCTATTTGCAATTTACTCCTTGATTTTTAAGGTTCAATAATCCTATTGTTTGCTCTATCCTTCCTTCCTTCCCTCCTTCCTTTTTCCTTCCTTTCTTTTGTCCTTCCTTAATAATTTAGTGAAAAAGCCATTAATCAGGCCCAAGCAAGGAGAGTAGCCTGCAAGGTCAGGGGCTTTGTGAGGCCGGTGGCCCAACCCGATGGACTGATTGGTTGCTTGCAGAGCATATAAGTAAATATACTGAGGATAATGGGAGCCAGATTTCTCACTGTTGGAGAAGTGAAGCCTATAGTATCAGGCAGGGAATGAAGTTATTAGTATAGTATATGGTTTTGATATATAGAGAGACAGATACGGAAATAAGTATAAACATGTTTGTAGGTCCGTGTGTGTGTTTGTATATACATATATATTTCTTATCTCTGTCCACTGAGAGGATCTGAGAACAGTGACACAGTGGTTCCACAGAGCACACTTAGTGCTCAGATCTTGGTTTCTAGGTGTTGTTCTTTTTTTACTTTTTCTTTAAGATTGTATTTGTTTATTTGACAGAGAGAGACAGTGAGAGAGAGAGCACAAGCAAGGGGAGGGGCAAAGGGAGAGGGAGAAGCAGGCTCCCTGCTCAGCGAGGAGGGAACCTGACGCTGGACTCCATCCCAGGACCCTGGGATCATGACCTGAGCTGAAGGCAGACGTCTAACTGACTGAGCCCCCCAGGTACCCCTAGATATTATTCTTCATTAAATAAGAATTAGGGCTCCATCCTAAAAAAGTGCAAGAAGAGCCTGAAGCGTGTTGTACAATAAGGAATGGTGAGGGCTGTCAAAAGGACACAGGAACCAACTGGAAGGGTCTCCACTGTCCAACTCTAACATAATTGGAGCTTTAAAACAAAAAATGGTAGCAGTAGGGGCACCTGGGTGGCTCAGATGGTTAAGCGTCCCCCTTTGGCTCAGGTCATGGTCCCAGGGTCCTGAGATGGAGCTCAAAAGGGAGCCTTCTTCTCACTTCCCCTCTACCCCTCCCCACTGCTCATATACGCACCTGCATGGGAGTCCATCTGTCTCCTTCTGTCCCTCTCCCCCTCTAAAATAAATAAAATAAATCTTTAAAAAGAAAGAGCAGCTATCAAAAAATCTAAAGCTAATGTCATATTCAATAGTGGAAAGTTCAGTTCTTTCTGCTTAAAATTAGGCACAAATGATGCCCAATCTCACCTCTTCTGTTCAGCACTGTACTTGAGATCCTCACTAATGAAATAAAGCAAGAAAAAGAAAGCCATGTAGGTTGGAAAGGAGGAAATTTTTTTTCTTAATTTATGGACAACATGGTCAGGTATGTAGACAGTTCTACATAAAAATTATAAGTAAATTTATCAGGGTTTCATGTTATAAGGTCATATACAAAATCAGTTGCATTTCTACCTACTAGCAGTGAACAATTGGAAAATAAAATTTTTATATTCCATTTACAGCAGCATAAATAATCTCAGAATTAACAAAGGAATATTAAAGACCTATATCCCAAATAGTGTATAACATTGCAAGAGAAAACTAAGATCTAAATAAGTAGAAATACAGACATTGTGTGGTGTCTGGGTGGCTCAGTCAGTTAAGTGTCCAACTCTTGATTTTGGTTCAGGTCATGATCTCAGGGTCGTTTGGCTCCTCACTCAGCAGAGAGACTGCTGGAGATTTTCTCTCTCTCTCTCTCTGTCCCTCCCCACCACTCTCTCTCTCTCTCTCTTGCTCTCAAATAAATAAATCTTTTTTTTTTTTTTTAAAGATTTTATTTATTTATTTGACAGACAGAGATCACAAGTAGACAGAGAGGCAGGCAGAGAGAGAGAGGGAAGCAGGCTCCCTGCTGAGCAGAGAGCCCGATGCGGGACTCGATCCCAGGACCCTGAGATCATGACCTGAGCCGAAGGCAGCGGCTTAACCCACTGAGCCACCCAGGCGCCCTAAATAAATCTTTTTAAAAAAATGCAGACATTGTCCATGGATTGGAAGACTTAATATTGTTGAAATGTCAGCTTTTCCCAGGTTGATGTATGGATTCAGTGCAATCCCAATCAAAAGTGATAGTTTTTTTTTTTAATTGTTAAGCTGATCCTTAAATGTTACATGGAAAAGCAGAGAACCTAGAATAACCAAAATAATTCTGAAAAAGATCAACTCTGGAGGACTCATCCTGCCTGATCTCAAGACTTTCTATAAAGCTATAGTAATCAAGAGAGTGGTATTGGCATAAGAATAATTGCATATATCAGGGTTAGCAAACAGTGGTACGTGGGCCAAAACTTACTACCCGTCAACCCAGTAAATAAATTTTCAACTTTTGTGTGTCATGGACACTATGAAGAAAATGAAAAAATAACTCACAGAATAGGAGAAAATATTTATGAATCCTATATCTGAGTAAGAATTTAATGTCCAGAATCTATAAAGATCTCTTACAACTTGACAATAAAAGGACAACTGAATTAAAAAATAGGCAAATGGGTTGAATAGACATTTCTCTGTAGAAGACACACAAAAGGCCAATGAGCACATGGAAATATGCTCATATTATTAGTCTTGAGGGAAACGCAGATCAAAACCATAATGAGATATCGCAACGATAAATAACCCATGGCTATAGGTAAAAAAAAAATTTTTTTTAAGATAAAACAAGCATCGGTGAAGATGTGGAGAAATTGGAATCCTCATACTTTGCTGGTGGAAATGTAAAATAGTGCTACGGAGCAGCTAAGACAGCTGCCATGGAAAACAGTTTGGCAGTTTCTCAAAAAGTTAAACATAACCTTTTAAACCAGCAATTCCACTCTTGCGTATATACCTAAGAGAGTTGAAAATGTATGTTCACACAAAAACGTATGCGTATGTGTTCATAGCAGCATTATTCAAAATAGCCCCAAACTGTAAATAACTCAGTGTCCATTAACTGATGAAAAAATAAATACATTGTGCTATAGCCACGCTTTTTTTTTTTTTTTTTAAGATTTTGTTTATTTATTTGACAGAGAGAGAGAGTGCGAGCACAAGCAGGGGTTGCTGGAGAGGGAGAAGCAGACTCCCGCTGAGCAGGGAGCCTGATGTGGGGCTCCATCCCAGGACCCCAGGATCATGACCTAGGCTGAAGCCACCCAGGTGCCCCACATCCAAACTTTTGAATACAACTCAGCAACAGAAAGAAGATACAGTAAAACATACTGATAAACACAACAACATGGATGAATGGCCAAAACATTATGTTAATTGGAAGAAATCAAACACGAAAGACTACATGCACAACTCAAAATAGATCTTGGGTCTAACTAGAATGTAAAACTATAAAACTTTTAGGGGAAAAGAGGGGAGAAAATCTTTGTGACCGAGGTTTACCTGGGTTTACATAGAAAGTACTTAGGTGTAAGTAATATCAAAAGCATGATCCGTAAAAGAAATAGTTAGTAAATGAGCTTCACCAAAGTTTGAAACTTTTGCTCTGTGAAAGACATTTTTTTAAAGAATGAAAAGACAGGCCATAGCCTAGAAGAGGATATTTGCAATCGCATATGCAGCAAAGGACATACATGCAGATTGCATACAAAAACTAAAAACTCAATAGTTAAAAAAAAAAATTTTTTTTTTAATTTGAAAAATGGGGCGCCTGGGTGGCTCAGTTGGTTAATGACTGCCTTCGGCTCAAGTCATGATCCCAGAGTCCCTGAACAAGTCCGCGTCGGGCTTCCAGCTCTGCAGGGAGTCTGTTTCTCCCCTCTCACGCTCTCTCTCACTCTCTCTCTAATAAACAAACTCTTTTAAAAAATACCTCAAAATTTTAAAAATGGGCAAATGACTTGATACTTCACCAAAGAGGTTATACAAATGACAAATAAGCACATGAGAAGACATTCGGTATCATTAACCACTAGGGTAATGCAAATGAAACCCATCATGAGATACCACTACATACCTCTTAGAATGGCTAAAATAAAATATACTGACAATAATGTGTGTTGACAAGGATATGGAACAACTGGGACTCATACGTTGTTTTAAATGTAAAATGGTACAGTCACCGGAAAACAGTTTGGTGGTTTCGTATAACCATAAACTTACCTTATAACCCAGCATCCCCATTCCCAGTTATTTACTCTGGAGAAATGAAAGCTTAATGCGCACACAAAACTATACACAGATGTTTATAACAACCCTATCCATAATCATAAATAACTAGAAACAACCCAATGGATTAACAAACAGTGGTATATCTGTGCAATGGACTTACTACTCAGCCATAAAAAGGAGTGAACTATTGATCCATGGACCACTTTGGATAAATCTCGAAGACATTGCGCTAAGTGGAAAGCCAGTCTCAAAAGCTTACATGCTATATCATTCCATTTATATGATGCCTTCGTCCATTCTGCCTGCAGTAACAAAATTACCATAGATCGGGTCAATAAACGTTTATTTCTCACAGTTCTGGGGGCTAGAAGTATAAGATCAAGGTTGTTGGCAGATTGGGTGTTTAATGAGAACATGTCTCCTAGTTCATAGATGGCCATCTTGCTGTGTCCTCACGTGAGAGAAGGGCCCAGGGAGCTCTCTGGGTTCTCCTCTATAAGAGCACTAATCCCACTCACGAGGGCTCTGTTCTAGTGCCCTAATTCACCAGAGGCTCCACGTCCACATGCCCTCACACTGGGAGTTAAGATTTCAACATACGGCTTTTGAGGGAACATAAACATTCAGTCTTAGCATGTGATATTTTTGAAAAAACAAAACCATAGTAACAGCAAAGCAATAGGTAGTTGCAAAAGTTTATTTATGGAGGGGGAACTATAAAGCAGGTTCAGGATAGGAAGGTTATTGGGGCCGTGTGCCTGAGCTGCATGCTGATCGTAGGGGTGGTTGTCAACATGGGTTGAAGTGCATAGAACTATATACCATATAAATAGTTCTACCATATGGTAATAAATAAAATGAAAAATTTTAACGGGGCCTGTAATGAGTTTGTGGTGGGGACTAGCCATAAAGCACCTACCTCCTGGAACACAGTAAACGTTCAATAAAATGCGGAGCCGCTGTTATTAATGTTTCAAGTTAGTGGGTTTCCCCCCAGTGCCTGCCTTCAAACTCACTTAAACACAGTAGAGGTGCAGGCAGTAAACGGTATGCTCGCCCGAAGGGGAAACATGGTTACTGATAGTGTGTAACGAGCGTCCAGGGAGGGGAGCAAGGCAGAGACCCCAGGAAGAGGGACCCAGCTGGGGGCTGACCCTGCCAAGCTCCTTCAGGGCAGCTGACACCCCAGACTGACACTTACCCAGTGCTGTTTCTCTGCTATGACAGTTTGCCGGGATGGAGTCGGGCTATGCTTGCTTCTGTGGAAATAATCCTGATTACTGGAAGTACGGGGAGGCAGCCAGCACCGAGTGCAACAGCGTCTGCTTCGGGGATCACACCCAGCCCTGTGGTGGCGACGGCAGGATCATCCTCTTTGACAGTGAGTGTGCCCTGTGCCTGTTGCTGTCCAAGACCCAGGAACGCTTGTGCCAGAGAAACAACCGGACCAGCCTTCCTCTCTTCCATTCATTCATTCTTGTAGCAATACTTATCAAGCACCTCCTGCAGGCCATGCCCTGACCAGACCCTGGGGATGCAACACTGACCTAGCAGACTCGGCCCCTGTCCTCCAGAAGGAAGGACAGACATTTAGTTATGCCATGTGCTCTGAAGAGATGAGGCCTGTCACAGGAAACTTAGGAAGGCTAGAAAAGACGACCTTTGCAACTTAACAGACACTGGTATAGCTCTTCAGTATTAGCCTTAAGGTCCTCTTGTTTTAATTGACTTCTAAGCCCTTTAATGTTTTCCTTGGCATTTGGTGTTGCGGCAGTTTTGCAGCTGAGGAGAGAGCATACGCTTCCAGCCTCCTCTCTGACCCACCATATCTGCGAGATGCTGGCTAGGGGCAGGGTGCACTGCAGATGGGGTATGGAGCTGGGGCCTTGACCTCTCCTGCACCGTGTTCTTATCCCTGGCCTACCTGATCCCTCCTCATAACCACCACCCCCTGCATCCCACTCAGTGATGGTAAGACTTTGGGAGAGCCATAGTACCAGTATAGCACGAGATTTTGGTAGAAAGGGTAGAAAGTAGATTGTCACAAGTGAGACAGACAAAAGGAAAGACTTGAGGTTACTAAGATACACTACAGAGTCCATAGGTCTTTGTTAGTCATTGGGATACAGTAGATATACTCTTGACATCTCAACCTGACCGAGTGGCCCAGTTTCATGCAGAAATATCATATGCTCTGTTAGTTTCCTAGGGCTCTCATAACAAATGATCACAAGCCAGGAGCATTAAAGCAACAGAAATGTATTCTGTCGTAGTTTGGGAGGCTAGAAGTTCAAAATCGAAGTATTGTCAGTGCTCCACTGAAGCATCCATCCATGCTCCTTCTGAAGGCCCCAGGGAAGAAGGCTTTGCTTCGTTCGAGCCTCTGGCCATTGCTGTCAGTCCTTGGCATTCCTTGGCTTGGAGTTGCATCACTGCAATCTCTGCCTCCTCCTTCACATGGCCCATTGTCCCTCTGTCCATCAGTGCCTCTGTGTCTCTCTGTATCTTCTTGTAAGGACTCTAGTCAGATTTAGGGCCCACTCTCATCTAGTGTGGCCTCATTTAACTTGTTCACATCTATAAAGACACTATTTCTAAATAAGGTCACATTCACAACTACCAGGCATGGAACATGTCTCCTTTGGAGGACACACTTTAGCTACTACATACGGTGGCTGTAAAGCCTAAGACTTTCTCAGGTTATGGCTTAGACGTCATCAGAAGTGTGTGTTTGGGCAGAGGACAGGGGAAGGATTGGCAAGTAGAACTCATGTGGTCAACTGTTGGTCTTTTTAGGTGAGTGTGCCTGCTGGAGACTGCCAGTGGCTCCCTGTACATTCTGTTATGTCAAGACAAATGCTCAGTTGAGTACCTCTGTTAAAGCTAAAGACTAAGACTTGCCTGATGTTTAAGAAAGGTTGGCAGATAATACGCCCTGCACTTCTATTTAAGTTTTCGCTTCAAAAGTCTATTATTATAAGATCCTCTGCCTTGACACCCTAGCCCAGAGGAGAGTATATTTGCGGAGCTTACAATTTGCCTGGTCTACTCCTAAGTGAAAAAAAGAAAGGAATAAAACACTGAGTGTGTATTAAGTGTATTAAGTCTTTATATAAATTATCAATCTATACAAATCAGGCCCTGTTGGCAGTCATCTGAGGAAGGCATTATTATCCTCACTGTCATTGTACAGAAGAGAGTTCTAGGACATGAAGAGGATAGATATCTTGCCAGGGCTCATGGAATTAGACAGTAAAGAAAAGAAAAGCAGGGTGTGTGGGTTCGCTACCTGTTTTTCTACTTTAAACAGAACATAGTGTTAATTTTTTTACTGGAGAATAGTTGTTGGTGGGCATGTGTAGAAATTGGATCCCTCACACATTTGCTAGTGGAAATGTTAAATGGTACAGCTACTCTGGAAAACAGTCTGGCAGTTTCTCAAACGTGAAGCAGAATTACCTTATGACCCAGCAATTCCACCCCCTAGATACAGACCCAAGAGGGTTGAAAACATATGTTCCCACAGAAACTTGTACAGGAACCTTCACAGCAACACTGTTCGTAATAGCCCCCAAGGTGGCACCAACCCAAAAGTCCATCGATGGAAGAAAGGATCGGCAAAATGTGTTATATCTGTACAATGGAATATTATTCAGCCACAAAAAGGAACGAAATAATGATGCACGCTACAACAAGGTTGAACCTTGAAAACATGACGCTAAGTGACAGAAACCAGACACTCAGGCCACGTATTTTATGAGTCTATATATAGGAAATGTCCAGAATAGGCAAATCCATACAGACAGAAAACAGATTAATGATCGTCAAGGGCTGAGGAGAAGGAAGGGATGGGAAGTGATTGCTTAGTGGGTACGGGTTTTCTTGTTGGGGTGATAAACATAGGCCAGAACCAGATGTCCATGGTTATACCTTATGGAGCCTATAACACATACCACTGAGCTATACGTTTTTAAAATTGTTAAAATGGTGGATTTTATATGGTTAAAAAATAGAATACTTTTATATGGTAAGCACTCATTTAGCACATTTTTATGGAGTGTCTGCTGTGTGGCAGATAAAATTAGTTTTTTTTTAGTGCAGCGCCTATACCAGAGGTATCACATGGAAATAATTTGCTTTAAAGTCAGTCCCGTACCAAGCATCATCTTTGGTACTGGAAATATATCTAGAAGATAGCACTGGGCCTCACACAAAGGTACAGTACGATGAATTAATTATAATGAATATAACTGCTGTCCGTTGAGTGCTTGCTGTGTGCTAGCCTGGAAGCTGGGTGCTTTTATTTATTTTATGTTATTTGATACTCAGAACAGCCCTGTTGATAAGAAACCTGTGTGTGGATCAAAAGAGAAAATAATTCGTCCAGGTGAATAAGAGCCAAATTGAGAACTCAAACCCAGGTTTGCCACAATTTTTATTTCTCTGTTTTCAGTAGCCAGAATCCCTTTCATTAAGAATAATAGATCATGATAACCGGTCCCATTTCATGCTCTAAAAGCATGTGAACAGGGTGGGCCCAGTGGCTCTGATTATCATGAAACTGGCCCCTTCTACAACCATCCAGAAGCTGCCTTCTCTGGCTCCCCTTCCTTTAGGAGGAATGAGGAGGTTGGCGTTCGGAGAAGCTCCAGCCTCTAGAGGCCCTGGTCCTGCTGACCGGCAGAGGCCCCTGACAGTAGCCCGCTCCAGTGACCACCCCCCCCCCCAGCCCTGCAAAGGAAGGTACAAACTGCAGGCCTGCAGAGATCATCCGTGCGGTTTCCCGGCCAGAGGGGAAGATCGTCTAAGTAGCCCAAGTTCTGCCTCCTGGAAGTCTTTATGACCCATTGGACAAAGCGGAGCACTTTGCACATGGTGACTACAGACTATCCCATAATTGGGGAGGACAAAGATGTCTCTCTGAGGAGACTGGAGAAGTTAGATGGTGAGAAAAGGACCAGGTGACGGTTTCCCAGAATATCAGACTCTGCTGCCAGTGTGGCTGGACCCCAGGTCCCAGTCAGGATGTCACTGAGTTCCTCCCGGTCTCTGCTCCTTGCAGAAGGGCGCTCCAGGCTCCTCAGCTCCAGTGGCTCTCAGGCTGCCTTTGCCCCTCAGCAGAGAGACTGAGGAGACAGCCGTCTGCTCAGTCATTATTGCCACATTAAGTTATTTGTCATAGGCCGTGTGGCTGGTTTTCCAGCAAGCTCTCATGAGCTCCAGGAGGATGTGAAGTGGACCGTGTGCTGTGTGTCAGTGTGGCACTGACAGAAGCTTCAGAGCATGTGCTGCCCCCAGAATTCAATTATTGAATTAACAGAACCAAATAAATGATCAGAGAGTAATCAATAGTAATCTACTATGTAATCAATAGTAGATTACAGAGACTGCCCAGCGGGCCTCTTGGGCCCCTTTCAGCTTCTAGGCACGGAAAGGAGAAATGAGATGTGGGATTGGTCCTTCCTCTGCAACCTTCCTCTGAGCCCGTACATGTTTTTAGGGCATTGTGCTATTTACTTTGTGTACGTTCCCTCCCTTCATTATAATACCGTGAAGCAGGTACTGTTCCTTATTTGCCTGAGGAGACAACAGAGGCTCATTAAAGTTCAGTAGCTTGCCCAAGGTCCCACAGATGGAAATTCTTCCCCCATGGAACTTATATTTTAGGGAAGAGAAGAGATTAATGGTAAAAAAAAATATATATATATATACACACGGAGGGCCTAGGGTCCAATAGGACCTGACTGCTAGGATTGCCTTAATAATTGTACCTCATAGACTCCCAGATGCCATCAGTCACGTGATGCAACATCACTGTGCGTACCACTGAGGAGAAAAATACTTCCAACTAAACAGTGACATGTACCGATGGACAGACACAGTCCAGTCTGAAAGATTAAAATGTTCCCCTTAGAACTGATGAAATACGGTAATCTCTTCTGCTTTTCTGAGTGCCAGTCCAGTGAAATATGATTCAAGGCTGGGACCCATTTGGTTCAGGTTTGTTTGCTGAGACATGCCAGTATCGTTCACGTCTGGAAGCAAAGCACTCAGCTGCATCTGGGGGAGGTTAGCTGTTCCCGCTGATGCCTGAAGTCTGTTCCTGAAGAAACTGACTGAGCTAATATTGAGACGGGATGGAGGTGCTAAATCAAAGAAGGCAGGAGGACACTGGCTTTCTGCCACCGGAGGTTTCGCCCAGGGCTATTTAGGGCCCCCGGCTGCCCAGGTTGTATGTGGCAAGCTACTCTCCCCTTCAAAAATAAGATCTTGCATATATTCCTAAATTTCAGGTTTCCTATTGAATTATCACTGAATTTTAATAATCTATCATAGATGTCATGAGTTTGCTTTCAGAATTGCCGAACTGAATCTCCTGTCTGCATGGCACACATCGGGAAATCGAAAGCTCTAAGTTGAAGGTCAGCCTTCGCTGGTGAAATACCAGTTTAACCTGAACACTTGATTCTTTACAAATAATAATAATAGTATAGCTAATACTTACTGAGCTTACACTATGTGCCAGATCCTATCCTACACACCTTACATAGATCAGCTCCTTTTAGTTCTTGTAAAACCCCTAAGGAAGAAACTTACCATTTTCATTTTATGGATGAGGAACCGAGGTGTACAGAAGTTATCTTGTTCAAATTCACACTTAGGGTGTGGGAAAGTCAGGTTGATTTTGTAGGGAATCTTTCTCTACAGCTTTTCTTTTTAAAAAATGTAGGTTTGGGGCGCCTGGGTGGCTCAGTTGATTGGGCAGCTGCCTTCGGCTTGGGTCATGATTCCAGGGTCCTGGGATTGAGCCCTACATCGGGCTCCCTGCTCTGAGGAGAGCCTGCTTCTCTCTCTCCCTTTGCCTGCCGCCCTGCTTGCTTGGGCTCTCTATCTCTCTGTCAAATAAATAAATAAATAAATAATCTTTTTAAAAAATTAAAATGTAGGTTTTTCAAGGTCTAATTTAGATAAGGTAAAAATCACCCTTCTAGTTGAACACTTCGACAAGATTTGACGAATGCATACACGCTCAAGATATAGAACGTTTTCATCTCCTCAGAAAGATCTCTTGTCCCCTCTGTGGTCAGTCCTCTCTCTGCCTCCAGCCCTGAGCAACCACTGATCTGTCTTCCATCTGTATAGTTTTGTCTTTTGAAGAAGGTCATATAAATGGAATCATAGAGTACTTAACCATTTGGTTCTGGTTCCTTTCGCTTCAAGTAATGCTTTTGAGATTCACCCATGATTGTTTCCGCAGTTCCTTTTTAGTGCTAAGAAGCACGTCTTTGTACAGACATGTCACAATCTGTTCATCCATTTGTCCGTTGATAAGCATTGATCTGTCTGTGGTCAAGGTGCTCCGACCCTGCCCTTAGCCTGTGCGCATGGGCGTGTGTGTGAGCACGTGCTTTCATTTCTCCTGGGATTTCAGGGTCATGTACTAAGTGCATATTTGTTATCACAGGACACTGCCAGCTGTTTTCCAAAGTGACTCCCCGATTTTCCATTCCGACAGACAATACGTGAGGCTTCTGGTTGCCCCGCATCCTCTCCTGCCCTTTGTATAATCTGGTTTCTTTTAGCATTAGCCGTTCTAGCAGGTGCATGGTGGTAACTCATTCTGGTCTTAATTTGCATGGCCATAATTACCAGTGATGCTGAACACCTTTTCAGGTTCTTATTTGCCACCATCTTCTCTCAGCATTTGTATGAGAAAGCCTTATTTCACCTTCATTGTAGAAAAACATTTTTGCTGGATATTGAATCCTATGCCGAAAGTTGTTTTTTTGTTTTAGATTTCAGTATCTCAAAGCGCTCCTTTGACTTACAGCTTGTACAGTGTCTAGAGATGTCTGCTCTTTGTTCCCTGTATATCATCTTTCCCTTCTGCCTGCTTTCAGGATTTCATGTTTGTTTTTGGTTTTCAACATTTGATTCTGATGTGTCTGGGTGTGTTTTTTGTTTGCTTTTTAATTTTTGTTTTTATTTTTTAATTTTTTAGATTTTATTTATTTGACCGAGAGAGAGAGGGAGAGAGATCACAAGTAGGCAGAGAGGCAGGCAGAGAGAGGAAGGGAAGCAGGCTCCCTGCTGAGCAGAGAACCTGATGTGGGGCTCGATCCCAGAACCCTAGGATCATGACCTGAACCAAAGGCAGAGTCTTAACCCACTGAGCCACCCAGGCTTTTTGTTTTTAAACTTTTTTGCTTACTATTTGCTGAGATTCTTAGACCACCTTTCGTTAACTTGAGAGCATTCTTAGCCATTCATTATCTCTTCAAATATTTCTTCTGCCCCCTTCTCTTTTTCTTCTCTTTCTAGAACTCCAGTGGTTAGATCACTTGATGTCATCCCACAGCTACTGGATGCTCTGTTCTTAACTTTTTTCCTTTTTTTTTTTTTTACCTGCTTCTTTTTTTTCTATTTGTTTCATTTTGCATGATTTCTATTGACCTATTTTCAAATTTATTGATTCTTTCCTCAGCTGTGTGTAGTCCATTTATAAGCCCATCAGAGAAATTCTTCATCTCTGATAGTTTTATTTCTAGCATTTATATTTGACTCTTTTTAGTCTCCATCTCTCTGCTGGAATTTCTAATCTGTTCAGGCATGTTGTCCATCTTTTCCATTATGTCGTTACTGTAGTAACCATGGGGTACCTGTCTACTAGCTCTAACATCTGCGTCATTATTCCGTCTGATCCTACAGATTGTCTTATCACTTGACGATGAGTCCCTTTTTTTTTGCTGCTTTTTTTCTTTTCTTTTTTTGCTGCTTCCTTGCTTGCTTGTTCTGTGTGTGTTTTAATATTTTGTTGAATGCCATACATTGTGTATAGAAGAACAGTACAGACTGAGTAAATAAGATTTACACCTGGAAATGGGCAGGCCCATTTAGTGTGGGGACTGAGCCATTATATCAGATGAGCTGGGTTTGGGTGTTATTGTTTCTGTCTTTACCCTCGGTGCACACCAGCCTTCAAATTCTTCCAGCAATAGGCTCCTGTTACCTTGGGCTTAGTGTGGAGCCTGGGATGCCCGTGGTTTTTTCTTTTTTTTTTTTTTCTATTCCACCTTCAGCTTTGAGTAGCTCCTATGTGCCTTCGCCAAAGAGGGGATCCTTCTCTGCACTCTTTCCTCTCCCTCAGTGGTAGACGACTATTGTTGTTACTTGGTGCTGTGCTCCTGGAGAGCTGAGGGGGCTCCTTGGGCCTCCTGCCTCATCCTCCGTGTTAGGACATTGCTGGGCCTCAGACGTGGGGCCTTTCCAGCATTCCCACAGATCCCCTCCTTCTCCTGCAGTCAAACGCTGCCTTGTATCTCCAGAAAGAGAATTTCCCGCCCCTCCCAGCGGGCGGCAGACCTCTGCTTTGCATTGGTACAGGACCTGGGGGCTCAGTGCAACCATGGGCTGATGGCTTTTGCCTCTGCTTTTCCCTAAGAAGCAGTGGATCTGCCTGGCTACTCTGGCAGAAAGAAGAAAGTCTCCTGCTCCCTCCACAGAGGCAAACACATTTTATTTCTACCCTTTCTACCCTCCAATGGCCCTGCGAACAAGAGGATTTGCTACTCCTCCCACAGCCACTTGAGGCCTTTGGCTCTTTTGAGAGGAAGGTCCAGAAGCAGGCGGTGTTTCACACTTGTCCCCCAACAGCCGTGTCCTGTACAAGTGCCACCCAGGAGGTCTCTATGGTCTCCTTCCCTATCCCAGTCATTCCTTTTTTTTTTTTTTTAAGATTTTATTTATTCATTAGAAAGAGAGAGAGAGAGAGAGCACAAGCAGTGGGAAGAGGCAGAGGGAGAGGGAGAAGCAGACTCTCCACTGAGCTGGGAGCCTGACATGGGGCTCCATCCCAGGACCCTGGGATCACAACCTGAGCCGAAGGCAGACACTTAACCGACGATGGAGCCCCCCCCAGGCGCCCCAGATCCCAGTCATTCTTGTGGGCGCTGGGTGGAGGTCCGCACAGAACTGCTTGCAAGTGGGTGGAGACTCCTGCTGTGTCTGGGGCCCCTACTCATTCTAGACTGAGAGGATGGCCCCCACTCAACCTCTTAGCTCCTTTCTTCTTCCTGCCTTTTTTGGTGGCCACCTCTTCCTCTCATGCTCTGTGAAAGATGAAACGCTTTGTGTGGCCTGATGGCCTGACTCTCCTCTGAGGGGCTTCTTCACTTCTTAGAGTTAAATACACTTGGTTGTCTTAATACTTCAGCCTTCTGATGGGTTGAGGAAGAGTTTTGAGCTTTTTCCCATTGTTCGGATGGAAGCAGCATTCTCTTACTGCTTTCTACATGCCAAAGGGAAGTGGAAGTCCCCCCAAAGCCTGCTTTTTTTTTTTTTTTAATTTTTTTTTAAGATTTTATTTATTTATTTGACAGACAGATCACAAGCAGGCAGAGAGACAGGCAGAGAGAGAGAGGAGGAAGCAGGCTCCCTGCTGAGCAGAGAGCCCGACACGGGGCTCGATCCCAGGACCCTGAGACCATGACCCGAGCTGAAGGCAGAGGCTTAGCCCACTGAGCCACCCAGGCACCCCCAAAGCCTGCTTTTTAAACCCCAGTCCTGCACTCCCCCTCAAGGACTTTCATTTCTAGGATCTTGTTCACACTTCTCTGACTAAGATGCAGGGAAGGGGTTGTATCCCTGTCCTAGAAACCCCCAGTCCAAAAGGGGAGTCCACAGCAGCCAAATGTGCTTCATGCAGAGTGAGCAGAACCAAGCGTTTCCCCCAGGCAGAGAGTCACTTCTTGTGCCACAGTGTGTGGGGGGACCCTCGCGTGAGCACTGCACCCCAGGTATTGGGGATGCCCGAGCAGCTGGAAAGCCCTTCTCTTTCTTATGACTTCACCTCATCAAGTGTCTCCCTGCAAAGAGGCCCCCGTGTTTACATGTGCTTCATCTCATCTGTCCTCACGCGTCTGTGTGATACAGGAACAGGTGGCGGCCTCTCCATCCTCCCAACTGAGAGAGGCAAGAGTTCTGGAAGTGAGGTGCAGCCCCTGGGGTCACAGAGCCCAGACGGTTCCAAACCAGACTTTTCTGACTCCAGCCCGGCCCCCACGTAGGGAGCCCCATGTCAGGCTCCCAGCTCAGAGGAGAGTCTGCCCCCACAGCACAGCCACTGTGCTGTGTGCTAATTCTAAGGTCTCCTGGGCAAAAAAAAAAAAAAAAAAGCCTCCACAGTCATTTGTTGAGGGTTTAAGCTATTCATTCTGTGATTTGATCCTGAAACATAAGACAGTCTGGTTTTGTAGACGAAAAACATACCAAACTGGATCATGTCCGTTAGGAAGAGTTTTGTTCGTAGCAGGTTGGAAAGTGAGCCGTGTGGCTGTGCCCCAAGCTAAGGGCCGGTGTCCTTTTGTCTCCCACAGCTCTCGTTGGCGCCTGCGGAGGGAACTACTCGGCTACGACCTCCGTGGTATATTCCCCTGACTTTCCCGACACCTACGCCACAGGCAGGGTCTGCTACTGGACCATCCGGGTGCCGGGAGCCTCTCACATACGCTTCAGCTTCACCTTGTTTGACATCAGGGATTCTGCTGACATGGTGGAGCTGCTGGATGGCTACACCCACCGCGTCCTGGTCCGTTTCAATGGGAGGAACCGCCCACCTCTGTCCTTTAACGTCTCTCTGGATTTTGTCATTTTGTACTTCTTCTCTGATCGCATCAATCAGGCCCAGGGATTTGCTGTCTTATACCAAGGTAACCTTTCCCAGCCTCCTTGAGGGCCCTCCAGGCTGCACCTCGGGCTCCACCGGCACCCTGTGGTGACCCGCGGGCGCCAGGGCAGGTCTTGATGGGGCTGCGAGGCAGGGGCTACAGGCTCAGCTTGCAGATCTTCCCACCTCCCGTTTCAAGACTTGCATACATTAACAGAAAAGAACAACACCTCTCAGTTTCGCTGTGTTAGTTGTTCTGAGGACAGTTTTCATGGCAGGGTTGAAAGAAGAACTGAAAGGAAGAGCTGAGACTGATAGAATTAGAAGGCTTTAGAAAGGTCATTTGGTCGATCCTTCTGCCTCTCGACATCCCAGCGAATCCCAAAAGACTAGTTCTCCATCTTTCTCTGGACCCTCCTCAGGGACACCTGCGTGCTCAGTTGGAACAGCATGAGGCCCTTCATATCGGGGCCATAAGTTAGAGCTGCATGTGAGGTGTAGAGTTTACCTTAAAAAAATAAACTTTAAAGAAGAAAACAAACAACAAAAAAAACCCAATATACCTTAAAAACAACAACAACAAAAAACACCCCTCGTAAGGTGGAGCCCCGCTCTCTGCCCTCTGGTGTGCTCAACACATGCCCGGCACAGCTCTCTGCCAGCACATGAGAAGCAGGGGCGTCTGAGACCTGGTCTTTGTCCCGGATGCTGAGGGCCTTGGGAAGAGCTCAGTCAGCCTGTGCTACAGGAAGTCAGAGGGAGGAGGCCTTCCTGCAGGTGGGAGGGACAGTCTTGAGAACAGGTAGGATTTAGGTCAGTAGATAGGAAAGAAGGAGGCATTCTGGGCAGAGGGCACCGTAACTGAAAAGGCACAAGGAAAACAAGAATGCAGGCTCAGGTGTCCTGGAAGAGACCAGTCAAATGGTTAGAAGTTGACAGGTCCTGCCTTCTGGGGCTTTCTGGGCCAGAGCCTGACAGGTTCTGCTTTGACGCCAGTGGGGTCAGTGGAGAGAACTACACACAGAAACGAATCAGAAAAAATGCCTTCTCTTCCTAGCCAGTGCCACCTCCTCTGAACTTCTCCGTTGTCAGCATCAGCTCTCCCCCGTCTTAATTTCTTTGATCTTCCAGCCGTCAAAGAAGAGGCGCCACAGGAGAGGCCCACTGCCAACCAGACGCTGGCCGAGGTGATCACGGAGCAGGCCAACCTCAGCGTCAGCGCAGCCCGGTCCTCTAAAGTCCTCTACGTCATCACCACCAGCCCCAGCCACCCACCCCAGACCATCCCAGGTAGCAGTTCCCAGACTCCAACAAAGGGGGTGGAAGCCACAGGGCTCGAGGGCAGTGCTCTTGGCAGTTAGAGAAGGAGCTCTCTTCCCAGGCAGGTTGTGGATACTGGCTCTGTGACTGTCCCGGCCGTTGAGGGACATTTTCTCACTAGCTTGATTCCTTAGTCCTTAGGAGAAGGTGCTCATGTCCAAAGATCCAGCACGTATGCCTTTTGTAAGTTGTGATTAATCAGCTAAGCCAGGGTTTTCCCACTCTGGGGATGTCTTTCTAGAGCGAGTTGCAGCTCCTTCAATTCACCGGCAGGTACAAGAGCTCATTCATTCCTTCATTCCTTCATTCCTTCATTCAGAATACATGTGAGCACTTCAGTGGTGTCAGGTGCTGTCGTAGGCACCGGACTGTAGAATGAACCAAACAAACAATACCCCTTCCCTCCCGTGGCTTGTAAGTGGGAGGAGACAGACAAGAAGCAAAACAACAGGTCAGACAGTGACAAGAGCTAGAAGAAAAGTCATACGGGAGAGAGATGAGATGTCTGATTGAAGCTGGCTAACTTGGTGGGCTACATACTTCCGTTTTCTCTTTTGTGCCGGGGAAGATCCAGCCGAGGGTTTTCCCCTGCAGGACCCGCTTAGGTCAGGAAGGAGAGTCCCTCCAGTGCTTGCTCTGTGTTGCTTGTTTCTTTATCCTGGTAGGATTTCACAGATGAGGAAGCTGAGGCCCAGAGAGTTTATGTAACTCATCTGTGACCGCACAGTGATTCCACTGGTAAAGACATAGTATATATCGCCCCTCTCACCTCCCAAGTTGAATGCACTTTGGACCACACTGCCTGCTCCTCTCCAGGAGGGAGCTCTAGAGCAAGGCGAGGAGGTCAGAAGGCCTGGGCTCCTTGCCCACCCAGCTCTCAGCTGCATTTGGTGGCGGCCCCCACCTGCAGGGGGCTCTTTAGCCACACCTGCGTTTCTGAGCTTCCAGTGGTCACTCGGGGCTTCCTACAGACCTCCTTCTGAGAACGGAGCTCAGATAGGTCCTGTCTTCTGTGCTTGCAGGATGGACAGTGTACGGCCTGGCAACTCTCCTCATCCTTACGGTCACAGCCGTCGTAGCAAAGATACTTCTGCACGTCACATTCAAGTGAGTATGAAAGCTGCCCGGTGCCACGAGGGGAAGGCTCAGAACTCCTCTCTCACTGCACTTCGCTCGTGTGGGTACGACTGTAGTATCAGAACGTGATGCCAAAGCCCTTAGTTCTGGGCAGCACAAGGCAGGACGCATTCCTCATTCTCCGTACAGTGAAATGTGCAACTGGACAAATCTCACCGAGGTCTGCGTTTTCTCCTGGCTCACAGGATAGGATTTCAAGGAGGATTGAAACAGTCTGGGCATTAAAAGCAACAGTTTCCATTTTTTGACTTGTGCTGTCCCCTTAAAGGGATCGTCATGTCAGAACAGATTGCTGAGACACTACCATGGCTATTTCCCAATGCCTTCTAGAAACTGGGACACATTCTTAGGAAGAGAATCCTAACATTTTAGTAGCGATTGCTTAACAATTATGCATGAACAACGAGGAAGCTTCATCCTCCAATTCTGACTGATGCGGGAAAACAGATATTCCCTTCCCTTCCTGCTTTGCTGCTCAGGTGGAACAGTTCTGCCTCCCAGGAGCGGAAGCAGTTGTCTGTGCTCCTGGTGTTCCTGACCTTCCAGAGAAGAGCTGTGATTTTTTTCGCGACCCCGACACTGTCTTTCCTATGGCTCCCAGTCCAGCCTCTCTCCACTCCTTTTGCCCCTCCTCCCAGTTTTACTGGGCTATATAATTGATAGACGGGCTTTCTGTATTTCAAGGCCTTTCCTGAACGTTGCTGTCTTATAAATATACCTTTTTCCTGACCTTCTCACTTGCCCTCTGCCACAGAACTTTTCATATGTGAAATGCCTGCTCCTCCTTTGCTTTGTGAAGGCTGCCCTTGTAGGCCCTTCTACACTGCACTTTGCATTTTTCAGTGGAAACAGGGTCTTTTTTAATGATTCCTGAGCTCATGCCTGAGCTTCATATGTATATCTGTCTATTGAAGTCAAAAGTCACACCATCTGGGGAGCCTCTCAGATGCAGCAAGAGAGCAGGAGGCTGTCTGTGGGGCCCAGCACCTCACCGCCCACCAGGGCCCCACAGCGCATGTCTGACGCCCCTGTGACACTGGAGTCCCTCAGCAGCTTCCCTGCCAGGCAGCCCTGGAGGGGGTGGGGGGTGACATGGGGGAGCTGGGACACATGTTGGCAGTAAGGCAGGACCTGCTTCAAGCAGAGACACTTTGGCTCTATCTTGCTTTAATCAGGAGGACTTCCAGGTACATGTCATTTGAAGAAAGTTCTTCTATTTAAAAAAAGGGGGCAGGGGATTTGAAAACTCATCATCTCTAGGCCAGCCCCTTGAAGATTTGAATAACTCTTCCAGCAAGAAAGTTCTTTGTTATACTAAAGCTGGAATCTGTGCCGCGGCACTTCCCTCCCACAGACACATTTCATTCCCACGATAGCCCTTCAGACCTCCAGGAGCCTCTATTAGGCCTTTCCGGAGGCTTCGCCTCACTGAATGCCCCGTGTCGTAGGAACAGGTATCTCGGGAGACGGAAGGTTGTTGGGAGATCTTTGTTGTACCCTACTTGAAATACTAAGTTGTTTTTGCTTGACAGATCCCATCGTGTTCCTGCCTCAGGGGACCTTAGGGATTGTCATCAACCAGGGACGTCGGGGGAAATCTGGAGCATTTTTTATAAACCCTCTACTTCGATTTCCATCTTTAAGAAGAAGCTCAAGGGTCAGAGTCAACAAGATGACCGTAATCCTCTTGTGAGTGACTAAAAGCTGCCCACTCCGTGCCCAGGACACGAGGTCCCTCTGAGCTCAAGGCCACTGGGGACCCGTGGTTTCCTCAGACCGACTCTCCCTGCTTCTCCCTCAGCCTCTGGCAGCCTCTGCAAGAGCGCCGTCCTACGGGCTGGGAAGGGACGTCCTGCTGCAGAGCAGGCCTAGCCTGGACTCCCCCTGCTTCATCGCTGCACTTAGGAGAGAGAGACCCAAAGTCCAGGGTCTAGGCCCTCCCTGTGCTTCTCTCTCTCTCTCTCATCTAGAATGGGGGTGTCGGGACAGGGGCTGAGAATGCAGAGATAGTTGTGTCTGGCACTGGGCTCAGGTACCTTTTAGATGACTGTAGGGTGGTGGGTAGTTATAGTATATGCTGAGTCTTGCTCGCTTATTTTCTATTTTGTCCACACAGATCACTTTCTCCTGGTCTTTATGGGAGGATTCTGAGGTTCTCTTGGGGGTCGGCCTGGTCCTAGATTCCTGGGCATTAGCACCCGAAAGCATAAAGAGGGCCCATACTCTGTGCTGACTCTGGGGCTTTGCTCTCTGGGTGCTGGATGAGGGTGGGCCTCCTCTAACCTGGGAGAGCGTGGGAATTGACCCCCCAACATATCAAGCCTGCACCCTGCCACACATGGGCTTCTTTTCAAAGTTTGTTGATCGCAGAGCAAGCCACACAACAGACTTTCCTGAAAGCTTCTATAGGCTCAGTGACTCCTTATTATATGGGGTTGCCCGGCCTTGCCCCTGCGCAGCTCATGGTCGTATGGAACCTGAGCTGGGCCTGTCTCTCCATGATTCTCCAACTCCCCGTTCAGAACAGGGAGTATAAAGGTTGTGGCTTAGCCATGAGGCAGCATTAAGTGGGACACAGGTGTCAGCAGTCTCTCCTGCAGGCATCACTTATTTTAAAAGATGACAAACCATCCCGCGGCCTGTGCTCTCTGTGGTCCCCTCCTCCCCTTTGTCAATGGGGACCCAATGTGGTCTGGAATAGCTCAGTGGGGAGGGGGAGGGCCCTTTTCCCTAGCCCCACACTGCCCTGCCCTTCAGATGGGGAAGAGAGTCTCAGAGAGTGGCATGAGGGCAGAGAGTGAGGTTTCGGGAACTGGAGACCCCCGAGTTTAGGCCTCCCAAGATGGAGAGCTGCAGCTGCAGTGGCTGCTGGTCGGGAGGAAGAGCTGTCCCCCATTTAGAAGTCCCCATCAGCCAAAATAGGATTTGTCAACAGCCGCTGAGAAGAGCCGCCGGGGCCTCGAAGGCCAGTCCTGGGCCTTCGTCAGAGCACGACTCTCCCAGAGGCACCTGGGCACTTGGGCCTTGGAAACCACAGGTTTCCGCCTTAGAGCACTTTGCCTGCCTCCCCCAGATCCCTCAGCTACTGCCTGCTGCGGCTTTCTCTGGGGTTCTGCCATGCTGGAGACCTGTGTGCACCTGGCTGCTCCCGGAAACACAGAGGACCATGTGGGGCCAGCGGGGAGGGGTCTCCCATGAGAGGTGACATGCGGCAACCAGGGGAGATGCTGGGAGCTGGCAGGCAGAGGGGCACAAGAGAGGGGCAATGGGACAGCGTGTCCATGGGAGGGCAGGGGCGCTGCCCGAGCCACCGTGGGAGGCCTGCTGCGGGCTCAGAGCCGCTGGGTGCCGTCTTCACGCTTTGATCTGGAAAGGGTGATTACCCCGGAGCAGCTGTCCACGGGCCGCGGGTCTGCATACAGAGGCCTGTCCCACACGACTGGAAATACGCTGACATGTGCTGTCTCCCCTTCACGCTATTCCCGGCTGTTGCGGAATCTCCTCTGAACCAAGTGTCAGGTGCGTGCAGTCACAAAGGGCCTGTGCCCTGAATAGATCCATTCACAGCACAAAGGGAATATGGAATTTAGCCCCGGGAGGGGGTCGCCTGGCCCAGGAGCAGTTGTTCAGCCACTTAGGGCTTCCTGTGGCCATTGGCCTTTGGGGCATCCTGTGCCACCACCCCCCCCCCCAGCCCACCTCACACAGGCAGGGTCTCGTCTGAGTCTGCAGCTGGAGCAACCCGTTCTGAGACCCGGAAGTGCTGGTGACGCCGCAGTGCCCTCCTTACTGCTGGCCCTGGCACAGCCCACTGCCACCAGGATCAACTTACTGTCCAGGGAGCAGCCCCAGGAAACCAAACTGGCCTCAGGACAGACCTGGGGGAGAGGCCATAAATTGTCCCAGGCCCAACCCCCACAGACACCTTGGCCTCCGAGTTGCTCAGAACCTGTCACTGACACCCCCCAGAGGGTGCCCTGTGGCTAAGTAAACATCTGAGGGATACATTGTCCCAGAGAAGGTGAGGTGTCCTCCCGGGAGCGCCATAGGAGGCCCACACTTGGTCTTTTAAGAAACTACTTTAGAGAGAAGTGAGGTTTGGAGAGGTTGGAAAGCCTGAAAGGATATCATGGATCACATAGATTAGGAAAGAAGAAGGGGAGGGACTCTGGGGACAACTGTGGCCTGCCACTTTGAATGCATCCTGCCCAAGGCCTTCACCCTGAGTGATGGAGGGAACCAAGGCTGTGGAAAGTGATGCCTCTGGGCCTGGGTGCCCTCCTTACCCCTTCTCTGCAGAATCTAGGCCCTTGCCTTCTCAGCCTGTGCCACCAGGGAAGGGAGGGCTGCAGCAGCTGATGTTGTTGCCTCTATGGTAAATGCCTGCAGCCGGCTGGGACCGTGGTCTTAGCTGCGTTTCACAGTGTCTTTGGCCCCTCTGGAAGGTGCATGGCACCCCGTGTTCTTCCCCGAGCACCCAGTCACTTGCAGAACAGAGAAGGTGTAGCCATGTCTCCCTCCCTTGTGAGGACAGGGTCAAGGCCTCTCTATGGGTGTGAGCGAGGTGACCGGGCTGCTGTAACTTCTGAAGTGTGGGCTCTGGCTCAAGACTCCAATCAGCCAGAAACCCACAAAGATCAAAGCACTAGCGAGTACAGCTGTTCTGGCCCTCAGGCCAAGCCCATACGGCCCCACCCACTCGCCCCATTGCCAGCCCAAGGCAGGAGCTGGCCTGACCTTGCCACCCGGCCATCCTGACACGCCAGCGGGCACAGTGGCCATCACCAAGCCCTGGGTGTCCTGGGCACTTACCTTCATGAGCACTTAGCAGTGGACAGCCTCTGAGATGCTGTCTCCCTTGTCTGATGAGGCCACCCCGGGGCTTGAACCGAGGCCGGCCAGCTCCCCACCCCATAGCCCAGGCAACTGCCACCCTCTTGGGTTTTGGATCTCCTGTTTGATGTTCGATGTCTGCTTTTGTTACTACCTTGAGAACTTTTAACCTTTTGATTGTTTCCTCTGGTGGCTTTGTTTACCTTCCTCACTGTTCTACCTCCTGGCCGGGTCTCTCAGCCTAGCAGCCCTGGCACGGGGTATTTCTCAAACCTTCCAGCTGCAGCTGCCTCCGACTGGTGGGACAGCTCAGGGGTGATGATGGGGCCTCACCCCTCTGCCTGCAGACCCCAGGGGAGCCCATCTCACAGGCTTCTGTGTTGCCAAGTCGAATATACTCAACAAGGCAGAAGTGGGGTAAGGAGGAAGGTCCGAGGTAAATCTGCATCAGAAAGGATGTGTCTTCAGGAGCACATAGTGGGGGACCCTTTCTCTTCCTGCACAGCTGCCGTCTTGGGGTCCACGCAGCGTCAAGACCTGCCACATCCAGACTCACCTGCCCGCAGGGATCTTGACTTTGGATGACAAGGCTTTATTTGTAAATATGCTCTTAATATGCAACTTTGAGAATAAAATAGAAACATCATGTATTTTAAAATATAAGATGAAGTGTGACGCACTGTACACAATTTAATATATATTTTTAGGATTTTGTTATTTAAGAAAATGGAATGTAATGGTACTTAACTTTTACAAAAGAGAGAAAAATGTTATTTTTACTGTCTGGAGAAAATAAATATTCTCACTGTTGTAGAAACAGCGACAGGCCCTAGCATGTCGTTTTTGTAGGGGTGCTCCCAGGACCCCGCGACGATGGGGGGTGTTGCGTGCTGGCCGACCGAGCACTCTTCTGAAATCTTTGCGAAATGTCCAGGCCTCACTGTTTGCGCGGTTTTTCCTGTTAGTGTCCCAGCTTTCCTCAGGTCTCCTCATAGCTTTGACCCATGGTGGATCTTCAAGCAGGTCAGGTCGGAGGAGTTGAAATTCCAAGTGAACACCTCGGAACCAGGGGCGGGTCATGGCAAGAGGAAGGCCCTTTGTGCTCGGAAAGACCTAGGTCTGAATTGACCTTGAGTGGGTCAGTCCACTTCTCGGCCTCAGCTTCCCCTCCTGTAAAACGGCATCGTGTCTGTGCCTCAAAAAGGTTCTGAGGATTCGGTGAGGGATGTATGTAAATGCTTCTGTCAGCACGATCCCACGTGGATTTCTTCCTGCCTCTCGGGGCACCCGTTCCTCCCCACCCCTCCTCGTCAGCAGCACTGCTGGCAGCCCCACCTGTGAGCTGCAGGCTCCTGCCAGGCGCGGCACACACCCTAACAATCAACTGAGGGCTCCCGTCACCCCTGTCCTGCCGTTGGGGAGACAGGCTCCGAGGGGAGCCGGGGCCGCAGCTGAGGGCACAGACCCGGAGCCGGCCGGCTGGGACTCAGCTCCCACCATCCATCCGCCGAGGCCCGGGAGTGTAAAACAGGCAGCCTTTGAAGGGTTTGGCAGAGGAGTGACATCAGATTCCCAGTTTAGAATGATTTCCTACTTGAGTTAGGAAAAACAGTTGGAGTGGGGTAAGGTCGAGCCGGGGGAGGAGGCGAATCGGGAGCTACACAGGTCCAGCGAGGGATGCAGAGGGCCTGGCTGTGGAGGGAGGCGAGGCCCCGAGTGAGAGACAGCACAGCACTTACCACATGGCCTCAGGCAGGTGACCCCACCCTGTGTGCCTCCTTCCTCATCTGTCAGCTGGGGACACTTGCAATATGTACCTCGTAGAACTGGGATGGGTTACCTGTAGTCTGTTGTCAGAAAAGGGCAACTGTTCTTTGTTATTCCAGAATGGAGGTTGGGGGAGTTTCTTACCTGGGGGCTGAGGGGAGGAGAGAAGGTTCAGTTTTCAAGGTAAAGATTGCACATGGTTCCAGGTGTGAGAGAAAACATGCTGAGTTCTGTCTGGACTAAGTCGAGTGAGGGCCCTGTGGGACACTGAGGCAGCGTGAGACCCACGGAGGGTCAGGCCCAAGGAGCACAGTCCATGGAAATGTGGGCACAGTCAACATCCTGGGATGTGTCTGAGGCCATTCCAGAACACAGTATCTCAGGACACAGGCAGGTGAGGAGGAGCCTGGGCAGGTCCTGGGGTGGGGGGCTGGGGGGTGGGCAGAAGAGGGGGCAGCCCCAGAGGCCAAGCTTCCAACCCATCTGGTGCAGGCACACACATACTGCTGGTTCTGTGAGCCCCAATTCCAAATTCTCAGGTGATTCGCCAGGTAAGTTCTCTGCCCCAGCAGGGCTAAGAGAAGAGGAGGCGCAGGCCGGTCCAACAAAAGAACGGCCGCGTCTCTCAAAACCTGCCCGGAACACTTGCCTTAGAATCCCTAATGCGCTTGTCCAAAATGCAGGTTCCTGGGCCCCCACCCCAGCCCCGCTGAGTCAGAATCCCCGGGAAGCTTCCTGAACGATGCCAGTGCTCACTGAAGTTTGACAGCCATTTTAATCTGAGAAGTGGGGTCAGTAGTCACCTCCTCTTTTGGGAAGTGAACTGCCCACAGACAGCTGTGCAAGTTCCACTGGCTGCCTCCTTTGCCGTAGGGACATACTGGTTATTCGGGTGCAAAGTCTATCACTCAGGACAGAGAAGGGTAGAGGATACAAGGCACGGCACAGCAGGTATTCCAGATCCTTCTCCAGAAGGATGACATGGAGCCTGAGCCCTCCTTTCCCGCCATCCTCTCTCCCGGCTGGGGTGGGCCTGCACTGCACCGCCAACAGCCAGCCGGGACACGGCCGCGGCTGTCACAGTCCGAGGGCTCCAGAAAGGCCAGCTTCACTTGAGTGTTTATGTTCTTTCTGTTTCTGGAAGCTCTTTCCTGAAGGAAAATATTGTTGATGGCGGGTGGCAAACAAATGGGGTGGCCTTGCTGGTGAATTTCTTAGAGACAGATCAGCCTGCACCAGAAAAATGGAGGCAGCTGGAGTGTGCCGCTGTCCTGCCTAAAGCAGGACCATCCGAGTGGGCTTTGGGCATAAGCGACCGGGACCTCATCCCGTCGTTCTTCCAAACCTGAGAGACGCTGACGTTGGACAACCCGCCCACCGAGAGCCGGCACCAGGGCGGCCTCTCCCTCCTCCTTTGTCAGACGATCAAAGGCTCTTCTTCCTGCAGAGACGCAAAGGGCTGGACAAGAGTGACCTTGTCTCCCGGCTTGGAAGTCACATGATGGTCTCCTCTCCCCACTGGGCTGTGTGTGCCTGAAACTGCAGACAGTCTCTGGGACTCAGAACTGGGAAGCTTTTGTTCCTCCATGGCGGGGTCGGGTCCCCACGGGGGATTGTTTGTGCTTGGCTGAAAGGGACACTTTGGGGATAGAATATTTCAACCTCAAGAAGCAGCAACATTTGCTTGTAGCTGGAAGTCTTCATTTCTGGTCTCCAGCTGTCGTCTGGAGCTACCAGGCCCCAGCAGAATGGAACTCTGCCTGGCAACTAGGGGCAGGCGGCACCGGGCTGGGCTGGCCGAGGACCAGCCCGTGTCCAGGACAGCCCTTCTCCAGGACAGCCCGGCAGGCAGCAAGGACGCCGGCTGTCCTCCTCCCAGAGGCAGTCACTGGGCTCCGGAATCAACCTGCTAGCGGCAGACTCCTGGGCCAGGGAAGGGCTTCACAGAGAAGCATTTTAGGGCAAAAG